TTCTGCTACCACCTAAATATAGAAACTTCTGCCTCTTCCTTTGTTTTTCCCTATCCTTTTTTCTTGTAATAACATAGCATAATAATTTTGTCATGAAGTTGAGAATCATGAAGTGCAAAATCAATTCATGCTGGTTGATACTTGTGATAATAATCCTTTATTCGATTGAACATCTAGCAATGCTACTTATGTCATGTAATAACATGTGAAATCTCTAAGAAAACGATGAAACCGTAATCACACAGTTTGCAGGTGTTTCCACTTTAAGAATCCATTTGAAAGGATTTCACATCAGGATCTGCCTCATGCTTCAAATAGTTTTATCCAACTTATGGAAAGATTAGGAGCTCATTTTCAGCCACAAAGCATCTCCCTCCAGAGTCTAACAACAAAGCCAAATGGGTGACCTTTTGTTCGAAAATTTTGTTTTGATACTTCAATACAATACCAGGAAGGAAGCAACCGTATCATATACTGAGAGATCAGAAAACATAGGACGTGGTATTAGTTTGTTGAACTCAATTCATGAAACAACCATGAATTTTCATAATTTTCACAGTAACCTATGATGAACTAGAAAAATCCAATCAATAATTATTGTCAAAATTTGTGAATTATCAATATGAGCTATATATCTTAAATGGTGTTAAACAGGGTACTAATAGGTTTGTGCAGGTATGACATTTCTAAATGTAAATCCATACAAACACATAAACAATAATAAGTATATACTGAGGAAGATTGATTAACTACTGGTTTATTCTCATCTCTTTGTCTACATTCTATATAGATGGAGTAAAAGTTTGGACTGGGAAACTGAGTCTCCAACAGCTAATGGATCAGACTGGAAAGAGCTTGCTGAACCTGTCATGAAAGTGTACACTGAGACAACACATGGCTCCTATATAGAATCAAAGGAGAGTGCATTAGTATGGCATCATCTGGATGCAGATGTTGATTTTGGTTCTTGCCAAGCAAAGGAACTAATGGATCATCTCGAGAGCGTTCTTGTTAAAGAACCTGCTGTCGTTAAAAGGGGTCAGCATATTGTGGAAGTTAAAAGCCCGGTATGAGTTATTTCTTATAAAAGTACATTTCAGAAAATTACCATGAACTATGTGGGGGTGTTTGCAGGAAAATATTCTAAACTATTTTTTTCAGAAAAAACTGCCACAAATTTTTTAGGTCAGCAGAAAACCCCTAACAGGTTTAATGATGCAGATGAAAAGACTGAAATGCCGCTATTTATAACTTCCAATCCACAAGTAAATGTAGAAATAGTTTAGCTACTTTCTTGCCAAACTGTGATGATTCATGTTAGTTTTGTAAGGTCTAGCTTTTTATAATCATGTATCCCTTGAAATACAGTTGACAGATATGGCATCTTTTATACCCTTATAGCCACAAGTACATGTAGAAATAGTTAGGTTCTTTCTTGCAAAATCGTGAAGATTTGTGGTAGCTTTGTGAAATTTGCCCTTTCTATGGTCAAATACCCTCGAAATACAGTAGACAAATGTAGCTTCTTTTATACCTCCGTTTAAAACTTCCAATCCTCAAGTGAAAATGTAGAAATCTTTTAGGTATTTTTCTTGCAAAACTGTGATGATTCACGGTAGTTTTGTGAAGTTAACATTTTTCACAATCATACATCCCTTGAAATACAGTTGATAGATGTAGCATCTTTTCTACCCCTATTTATAGCTTCCAACCCCAAGTAAATGCAGATATAGTTTAGGTACTTTCTTGCAAAACCATGATGATTTATGGTAAATTTGTGCAGTTACCATTTTTATAATCATATATTCCTCAAAAATACGGTTTACAGTGTAAGCATAATTTGATTACAGAGAGCTAGTAAAGGATCAACTGTCGATAAGCTACTGAAGTCATTGGTTAGCGATGGAAAATCACCCGATTTTGTGATGTGCATTGGCGATGATCGCTCTGATGAGGACATGTTCGAAAGTATTGACAGCATCATATCTGACACCAATCTTTTCCGGGAAAGTCCTCAGGTCTTTTCCTGCACAGTTGGTCAAAAGCCGAGCAAAGCTAAGTATTATCTTGATGATAGTTCAGAAGTGATAAAATTGCTTCAGAGCATTGTAGCGATCTCTACTGATGAAAATAAACTCAGCAGCGATGATGATCGTCAAGCTTCGTTCGAAGAGACCGCCTGAGGGGAATCATTGAGACCCCCATCTATACATTCTTTGTTTTCTTGTCCCGGCAAGAAGCAAAATTTTCAGGTGTTTTAGCGTATGAGATCGAGTCATTTGGCATAATTCTGACATTTTTTTGTTAGATATGCTTGAAATTGCATATATACTCTTTAAGTTTTTACAAAACAATAGTTGAAAATAAATTCCTTGAGATTTCTCAAGTTTCCCTGTGCCCTACTGATACTATTTCATAGAAGGTTGCTAACTTGCTAATGTGTTAGGTGGTATCTGGAAAAGGTCCAGCTACCCTAATTTCTACTGTTTATATCGCCAAATAGAATCCTCACAATCACAATATTGGTATTCAAAATAACATTGTTGATTTAGGTAGATGAACTTGTGGTCAATAATAAAATAGGATATTTTGATGATACTTTTATCTGGGATAATTAATTTAATATATTAAAAGCTCTTCATGGTAGTTTTGTAGAATTTAACCTTGGAAAATGTTACATTTTGGAGAATCCGCCCTTTACTTTTGAGGAATGTCAGATGAACCCCCCATGACTTTCAAAATATTAGAAACCGCACCCATAAGTTTAGGGGTGATTCAGACAACACCGTCCAACTTCAACATTTTTCAAAGAGCCCCCGAGAAACCATGAACCACAATTTTCACAAATTGCACTTAACGCTGCTAATTGGTTTTTGTGAAAAATTTTAAAGCTGTAGGGGGTTTATGGTAATTATACCTAAGGAGAGGGTTTTCTGATATCTTGAAAGTTATGGGGGGTTACCTGATAACAGCCTAAACTTTATGGATTCTCTCTTGATATTTCTAAAGCACGTGCAGTACACGTGCAAGCACCAAGGCCGCAATAAATTGATCACCGGCGACCACAGTCGAAGTCACAGAGCAGTCAACAGGCATGGCTCATCATCATCGCCTGCGCTCTCTCATCCTCCTCATCGCTCTCCTCGTAATCCCTGAAAACCCTAACCCTAGAATTTTCTGACCCCTCCATTTTTTAACTAAAAAAAAAACTTTCATTTTTTCTTATTTCAGGTATCGCATGCCGAAGGAGCTCAACCCCGATCATCATCCTCCTTCTCCGCCGCTCTCCAAACCCTCCAGAAACAACTAGGGCAAGGAACCCTAATCTCCGTTTTTAACTCTCGCTCCATTCAAAATCATATTTTTCAAAATCATATTTTTACTGAAAAAAATCCGATCTCCTCCCCCCCCCCCCCCCCTCTTTTGACGCGCAGCTACGAGTTCCAATCCGTCGATCTCCTCCGCCGAGCGATGACTCACTCATCCTACTCCCGCGAGAACTTCCGATGCCCTCAGCATCCTCGGCTCAGCGTCATCCAGACGCTCCGTCTCGATGAAATGCTGACGAGGATCTCGACGTCTCGGCCCAAGGAGATGAACGGCAAGATCGCCGATGTCCTCGATGTGAGGGCTGCACCGCCGCCGGATCTAGGTTGGGGCTAGAGAGGTGGTTAGGGTTTCGGAGAGGACGAACGCGACGGCGCCGTCGGTGGTTTGGCGGTGGCGTTCAGGGCGTCTCGCGGGGTCGGCGATGGACAGCGGGAAGGTTGAGGTTGCTGGCGAGGTTTTCTCGAGGATCATGGCGGCGGAGGATTCGCTACCGTGGATTAGGGTCAGGGTTTTTCATAGGGTTTCGTAGGGTCCGTCGCCGGTGAGAGCAGGGGAGTCGCTTCCGGCGCATGATAGTGTGTAAATTGATGTTGTACTATCGTGCGCTGGTGCTCGCTTTGTTTTTAGCTCTTTTTTTAAAGTAGTGCCCGTAGCGCCTTTTTCTGTTTTGCGTATCTGTGTCCGTGTGTGCGTACGTTTGAATGAAATACTTTGGTTTTAGTGTATTAAATGGGTTTTTTTGTGGTTTTTTTATATTTACGTTTTGTAAAATATGAATTAAATTTTGTTAAGAAAGATGTATTAAATTATCTGTGTTACACCATCTGTTAATCTAATCCTCTATACTTAAGGATTAATTCCATAAATTTTTACTGCACTAAATTAATTTAAAAATATCAAAATTATTTAAATAAATATAAATTTTGGACTTTTAAATCGTAGACCATTCTAGAAAATCTAGAAAAATACAGATACTCTTTTAAAAATAATAATTAAATATTTTAAAATAATGAAAAATTATTTTAACTAGTATCGAAAGTTTACGGTCATTACGTATTACGTATTATTTCGTATAATACGTTGTATTATTATTACGTATTATTTTGTACAATTTGTTTTATTACTATTATTGCATATTATATGTTGTATTAGTATAACTGGTAAGTTTTATTATATAGATAATTTTCCTATAATTATTTGATTTTAAATGTAAGTAATTATAAAAAGGGGAATTCAAAGAATTACTGTTTATACTACAATAAATATTACAATAAACATTGTAGAATGAACAGGAAATCAAATATGGTCTTTTGTTCTCGAAGTATTGTTACTGCTATAGCATAAACAATAATTTAAATCTGCTCTACCATACTTAAAGTTACTATTCATACTACGGTATTTACTATATTGTAAACAGTGAAGTAAATCAAATGTATTGAAACTTGGATTTTTTAAGTATAGTGGAATATATATGATTTTTAAATTAAATGTACTAAAATTTAGATCATTCTTTAAGTATAAATGTACTAAAATAATGTACTAAAATTTAGATCATTCTTTAAGTATATAGGAGTAGATATGATTTCTAATTTTAAGCATACAATGATTGAATCAAATGTATTAAAATTTAGAGAGAAATAATTGTAAAATGCAGTGCTTAATAAAATAAGGGTCATGTTTTGCACGGGGTGCACAATAGTAGAATATAGAAGGGGATGTGGGGTAGCTTCATGGCTGCAAACCTAAGCATTGGTTGGCACGAAACTTATGGGGATGTTTTGGTTTGTAGATAGCTTATTTTTAAAAAAAACAAAAAACAAAAAACAAGAGAGAGAGAGAGAGAGAGAGGATAGAGAGAGAGAGAGAGCAAAAAAGAAAAAAGATAAACAAAATTGGTTGGGTTGAGTATTAGATTAGTATTAGATTATCTGTGTTATACAGACTGTTGTTCTTTGGATATAATAACAACTGGTGGGGTTGGGTTCTCTTCACCAAATACAGTCTCGTGTTCAATCATGCGCGTGGGCCCCTCCGTTAATGCAATCCCATTGTTTTCTTAAGGAGAAGGCTTGAGCTAACAATTCGAAGTGGTCGATTAGGGGCTGTTTGGTCCTGGTTTTTGGATGGGTAAAAAGGGGGAAAGCTGTCAAAAATGTCAGCTTTTTGACAGCTTTCCCCCAAAATCACCTTTTATAGAGGTGATTTTGGGGGAAAGCTGCCAAAAAACTGTTTAAGCCAAAACGCCTTAATTTGAGGCGTTTTGGCTTGAAAGCTGCCACAATTCTGACAAAAGTCAGAATTGTGGCAGTGATTCACCTCTCAAAAGAGAGAAACAAACAGGGCCTAAGGGCGATTTTGGGGGAAAGCTGTCAAAAAGCTGATATTTTTGACAGCTTTCCCCCCTTTTACCCATCCAAAACCAGAACCAAACAGCCCCTTACCACTTTTTGACTTTATCCTGAGATATAATCCTGTAACAGGCCTGATATCTTGGATCAAGGCCCATAGTCAAGTTTAAGCCCAATCAATTCTTATAATTGTTTTTGTTTGGATTGAGTACAGCCGCATTCGATACTTTGGGCCCACTCCAAGGATATGTCTGGATCTTTAGCCATGTACGATTTTGGGATTTTGGATTTAAGACCATGTAGAAATCTTCAGCCCCATAGTCAAGTTTAAGCCCAATCAGTTCTAACACATTTTTTCTTTTCTCTTTCTATTTTCTAGAAGTTAATAAAATATTAACATTAGCTTATTATTAAAGCTCATTGATAACATACCCATTAGGCCATTACATTGCATATTATAAGAGATATAAATATGAAATGATAAAAAAATGCCAAAAAAATGCACATAAATAAATATAATAAAAATCACAATTATAATTTTAATATGTTCCGATGTAAATATTATTGAAAGTGTACATCTGTATACTTGGGCTAAAAATAATTAAAATAATAACTTGAATGAAATATGTCAAATAGACTCTTCTAAAATTATGTCATTGCTCAAATTATAATATTTTTCATAGCCAATTTCAAATAAGATAAATGAAATATAATTTATTAAATGAACAAACACATTAAAGGCTCTTGAAAAATTGCTGATCCCTAAGGGGAAGTGACCCAATTTATATAAAAATTAGAATTTTTAAGTTTTAATTTCTGTTTGTGCTAGTAAAAATAAAAACAGTTTACGGAAAGCGTGCATCTATAAAGAGCGTTTGATGAGTGCTACATCATGAAACATCTCATCTAAACAAACCATTACAATTAACACGTTGAAACTGCCAAACTTCATTAAACCTGAAAACATCTCCAATTTAAATATATTTTCTACACACCAGATTTAATTTGCATGGGCAAAATGCTGCAAGAACTAACAACTAACAGAAGATTTTGCAATTTTGATTTTGATGCAAAATTGGTCAGTTCGAACTGCGACAAGGACTATTGAAGGACTATGTGATCATACACGTTTTGATCATCAAAAGGATTTTGTTTACCCTTCTGCCTCATTTACATGAGTAACATATCAATTCTTGCCAAAACGATATAGC